TCCGCGGGGTCCACCTAAGCAGATGCGGCGAAACCCAGCCTTGAGCGAATCGGCGGCTTCGCGCCATCGATTTTCCACATTTTTCCCAATTTACTAAAATCCTGTCCCTATCTCCTCTTCCCCTTTTCCTCCCTCTGTGCACCTTTGTTAAAGAACACTTGTTGACGACGTGGAACACACTCCCTTTGGACCAAAACCACCAGCTCCCGACGTGTACGGCACGCCCTTGTTCGTCTCCAGAGGGTTAAGCTCGTCCTTGGGGTTTTCTGAAACTAACAGTCAGAAGTAATTTCACGTGTGTCCATAAAAAAGTGCTTTTAGCTTATTTATAATTTTACTTTTAACTTTTACTTTTTTAAATTAAACTGATAAAACTAAAAAATAAAACTTAAATTTGAAGTTGGGGAAAGGATGCTTCAACTCGAAGTTCACTTTATTCGTTGTTTGATCTCCCATTTTCCCTTTTATCTCCTGTAATTTGTCAGCACACTCCCTTCTATCATGGCGGCGGAACTGTTCCATGACCGCCAACGCTCCCACTTGCACTTGCAACCCTCCTCCTTCTGCGTGTCGAATAACCACAGTCACTTATCAGCAACCCTCTCTCCACACGAAGAAATATTGTATAAACTAACAAAAAAGGAGGGCAAATTGCCTGCTTCTTTGACCAAAAATTTTTCTACTTGTGAATTACTAAAAATTTTATTTCAAGCATGAAATATTTACAAACACCATCTTAGTCTTTCAACATTTTTTCTTAGTCCTCCAACTTTAATGAATGGTCAATTTAGTCATTCAATTTTGAAATTGCCGTCAATTGGTTGGGTGATGGGGCAGTTTAAACATTTAGATTGTTGATTGTATAAATTAGAAAATATGAGGCAGATAAAACCTAAAGAACTCAAATAAAATTAAGAAGAAGTTAAAAGATATAGTGGCCATAAAAAAATATGATTAGATGACATGATGTATTAGTTTATAAAACTTTTTTAGTTGTTAATTATTGCACAGTTTAAAATTTCTAGTATGGATAATTAAAATTGTTAAAACTATAATATTGTTTAATCTAGACTATTAGTCGGATGTATTTTAATTCAAATTTAATTTAAAATTTAGAATTAGAATTTGATTAAAATATTTGATTGGTTAAATTCAATTAACAGTGTCTATTAACCCTTAGTTTAAAACTTGTAAATATCCAAAATAAGTAAAATAATATCACAAAAAAACATTATTAAAAATAAGAAGATTTAATTAATGTATTAGTCTTATAATGTTAAATATTAAAAATTAAAATATAAAAAAATTAAAATTATAATGAATATATAGAGATTAACATGCAAGTGTAGAACAAAATAAGTATTGGAATATCCATCCAGACTTGCCCAAATACTTATTTAATTATATAAACTTGAATATTAATTTATTTAGCAATATTTTCACCCGAACTCCACCTAAATAATTTTTTTAGGTGTCCATTAATCTTTGTCCAATCACCATCCCTACTCTAAACTCCGTTGGGGAATGAGCAGAGGAGGGAGGCCTTGACTGGGTGCTATATCTGCAAACCGAACGAAACCATACATGTACAAGGGCTAAGCCTGAAACACCCAACACAACACCAAACAACAACACCCCCCCCCCCCCCAAAAAAAAAAAAAAAAAAAAACCATATGTGGCTCCGTCAGTGTTACAAGTGCTGAGCTCTACCTGTTAAGGATGCTTGTAGAAATTTTGAACAAAACAATGTTCGGGAAATGAGAACCCAGTTAAAGTGTCTATTATGAGTGATTGCTCTACCGCTGGGAGAAGGCGAATCTTGGACCAGTTACAATGAAATCTAGCAAACTAGACAGAGAACATGTTGGCAAAAATTTTATTATATTATTGTTTCACACATGGAAATGTTTAGATTAAGGGAACAGAAAATGAAGTGATTGGAGGGAATGTCTTTTTCTCTGTCATCAAGCAATTCCAACTAGACTTTTTAGGCTCTTGGGGTGAGTCAAGTGGGTAATGTTAATGCTTTATGACTTGAATTAGAGCCCAAAAGCTATCTTCAATAATCAATATATATTTATATAAGTAATATATTCAGTTGGAAGTTGGTATCAGCGTGGATCTACACCAAACACTTACTGAAACCAATTTAGAGATTCTACTCTAGAGGGAGCCACTGGACAAACACAAACCACGGCATTTCACCGCTGATTATAACTAGTACTGGGGTCTATCATTTGCACGAATACTAAGTAAATGATAAAATTTAATTAGGGTAAATTCCGGACTCCGGAGTGAACATGAATATCAAGTAATTGCTAATAATATAGGTAAATTGTATTAGGACTAATTTTTTATATATAAAAATAAGTTAGTTGAGAATTATTACAAAAATATGCTAAATTTTTTTAATTGAGAAATCAGTTATTGAAAGACTAATTTTTTTTAAGACATTAGTTTTGGAAGGTCTAATTTCTGTTGGGAAATTGTTTTTCGAAGAACTACGAAATCAGTTCTCTCAACTGGGAAATCTAGCCATCCAGTAAAGTTCTATTTATGGAGCTTTGCAATAGGAGAGGGGAAGAGAGAAAGGAGGAGAAGAAATGAAGGAAGGGGAGGAAAAAAATTTGAGAGATCCCATATAGAGGAATGGAGAGAGGGGAGAGCAAGAAGCAAGGGAGAGAAGGAAGAAGGAAGGGGGATAAGGGAGGATGAGGAATGAAGGGGGAGACAGAGCTCGCTCTCATTCTGGAGGGAGATCTCCCTTTGTTGTAGACATCCATGAGAGCTCTGAAATTTTTTTTTTTCTCATCCTTATTTTCTCTGTCTTCCCTTTCTTTCTTTCTCTTACTTTCTTCTTCCTTTCCTGCTTTCCCCTCCATCTGTCGTAAAGCTTTACGAGATGAAAATGAGATTTTTTAACTAAATTCAATTCTCCTGAGACTGATTTCTCAAAAAAAGTTCCCCGATAACTGTTTTCTCTACTAAAATAAATTTAATTATTTTTAGATATTTTCAAAAAAATTATTAATATTAATATAATTTACTAGATAACACTTGTATTTTTTAATATATATATATATATATATGCAAATTTGTATACATAGTACTTTATTATTCGCATCTTAAATAGTAGTCAAAATATTAAAATATATTTCTAAAATCAATTTTTCTAAAATTGTTAACCACGTATCCAAAAGATAATAATAACGCAATAATTAAAAATTACCCAATACGAATATATTGAGTAGTAACAAAAGGGGTCTTTGATACGCTTTGGCTGACCTTAAGATCCTAGTGTTGGTTACTATCCAAGAACCAGATAATCACTATTATTATGTGGACTAGCGAAGGGTATGTATCCATCCATACGACTTATTTAGCTCAATGAAGCAAGTTATGTCCCATCACATCCTATTTTTAATTAATATTAATTGAAGAAAGCTTGCCACATATTGCACTATGATTCAACACCATTATTGAATGCAACAAAGGATAAGATATTTACCATGAAAACAAACTACCATTTGAGGATTAAGCATTTCCCACAATGTGACAACTCTTCCCACTTCTCATTTTCACACAATCAAACCCAATTTTCAAACATTTTGCACATTTACACCCATAATGATTTGTAATTTATATTTCAATACATATCTCAAACCTCAATCTACCTAATGCTCCCCCTTTTTGTCAGAAAAAATTTACATAATATGAATAGTTTATTTGAATTAAGGTTTTATAAAACTTAATTTATGAAATATATGTTGTTTGAAATCCTAGTTGGTTTAAAATTTATTAAAAATCAAATAACGATTTTCATAAAATTCTTACTTAATTTACAAAATAGAGACCACAGTTTTAAACTAGAAATTAGAGACTATGGATGAAATTTGTATTTATCGAAACCCATTTTTGAATTTTAGAAACTCTTCTTTTCAAACCCAATTAATTCTTTTTTTCTCCAAACACATTATTCTCAAACTTCTCTTCTTAAAATCTTATATTAGCCCAGCAAAACAATTTCCTATTAGCGCGAGACTAATAAACTCTCAAATATATTTTGTACGCTCATTATATACAGTGAGGTAAACGATTGCTAACAAGAAATTAGATCAAGCCCTGGATGGAAGAGATCCGAATCGCCACTTCTCAAGTCTACTCATCATTATTCCCAAATACAAACACAAAAAGTTATTATTTTGTAAATACAAATGCAACAAAAGCGTTCAAGTTCAAAAACAAAACAATGTCATACAACTCATCCTAATTGCACCCAACTAATTATAAATCAATTAAAATTAACAAAAATTAATTTAATTCAATTTTAATAATATATATAAACGGATTTGTTTAATTCAGTTTTAAATTATTCTCAAAAAAAAATTATAATACATATAAAAGACTTTTTTTTTCTTATCAATAAAGCTCTCAAAAACTGAAAAGGTCAAATCAATTTAAACCACTGTTATTATATCTGATTTGATTCATTTTAAGACATTAAAAATCAATCATATCTAAATTTTTGAAATATAACAAGTTTGATTTGGTTTGGAAAATACCCATACATGGGAACTCCCTAAAATACAGAACAGAAAATTCACCGCCGGAGAAGATGGAAAGCTTGCCAGAATTTCTTTTACATTCATGACCTGGACAACTTCAATTGCTTTTTTCTTTCTTTTTTTTTTCCAAAACATAAAAATAAAAGAAATAAAGGGATTGCGCTACACTGCCTTGACTGTTACATTCATCGGAAAAACTAACACCGAGTGGGCTGCTCTGTTCATACGAAAAGGTTCAAAAGCTTTCGGCTCCTCTGCTCGCAGCTTCTTGGCGCCATAATCACCGCCATCAAAGCTCATCAGCACCTCCAATTCCCCTGAATCCAACGATAGGGTGGTCGACGCCTCCTTCTGCTTCCTCTTTGCCGGAAAGTTTACCTCCGACACCCTCTTTGGGCATAGAACGACTGAGAAATCTTGAGATCGGACGATTGATTAGAGCACCATTTTTGAAGCTTCAACATGCTGGAAAGAAAGTATTCGGAGGCTTTGTCGGTTCTCTGGCAGTAACTCCGGCGGCGAGTGGCCGGAGAGTGTCTCGGCGAGAACTGTCTGTACCGCGGCCTGGCACACATGCCAGTTTCCTGTCGGGAGGAGGCCTACCGCTCCGTTCACTGGATTCACCGTTCGGCCACAGGCTTCGAACAACAGAGACTGGAGCAGAGCTGCACAAAAGAAAAGAAAATCAGAAAACTGAAACCACCGAAAATCCCAAAAATTTTACTGCAATTATATCGATTTCATTATAAATCCAAAATATTTCTAAAAGTTTCCGTAAACAGTTTTCAAGTACAAGCTCTCGAAGAGCTCAGCCGTGACTAAGTGATGAATTGGGTGAATTACCGGGACGGTTGTTCTCCGGCACGGCTGCGATGAAGGACATAAGGCCGCCCAGGCCAAAGAACTGGGAAACAAACAGGGTGGCATTGCCCTGAGCTCGTGGGGCTCTCGATCCACTGCAAGCAGGGCCGGAGAATGCAGGATTCGCTGCATCCCTTTCG